TTTACTACTTTCATCAATCATAACTTTTTTGTTTTACATTCGATTGCATTAAGACTTTATGATATCCTTCACAGTAGACATTTGAACACATACAATGGCTGATCAACACTTTCATTGGACTTTGGATTATTTAGTCAACTTTGTAACACCCAAAAATTACCGCCATGAAGAAAAGGAATTAGTAACCATCCGGATCAGATAAAACACACACACACACACACACACACACACACACACACACACACACACACACACACACACACACACACACACACACACACACACACACACACACACACAGAACACTTTGACACATTTCCCGCTCTTATGTGCCCATCCCCCCACATGGATCAAACCTGGCACACGCAATACATGTTCAGTGTCTATTCTTTGTATATTTACTGCAGTTCTTCATGTATACCAGTAGTCCGATACAATATGTACAGTTTGAAAGGGTGTTAAATGAAATGTGGTGATGATTAATGGTTTTTGTGTTAATGTAATAGCAGTTTAAACAGGACCGGCCAAATTTGACCGCGAACACCAAAGTAAGGGGGGGACACACACACACACAAGGACAATAGGAGGGTTTAAACAAGGAGACTCATGTGTAACGTTCAGTGGACATTGACTTGTTTTAATGTTATGATACATACGTCACATCAACTGCATAACAAACATACTTTATATAGGCCTGACTATCTTTTACTAAACGTCAACAGTAAAGGTTTTGTTGCATTTTATCTTTTTTAAATTCACAATATGAACCAGGCATTTTGAACGAGGACCACAGTCTTGGTGTGAATGCAATGTTTTTGTCCGTTGCAACTGAGCAACAGGGAGGTTTCAAGTCGACTGCTCTTCATTTGTTACAATCTAAATATGTACGTTTTTCTTCTTACTTTTCTATCTGAGGACATTGACCGACTAAGCGGCTAAAAGTTCACTATCAAGGACACTTCATCAAGACATTTGGCTACTTAAAAAACACGCACTGACCTTCCCAATGCTACTTCATGTGCACCGTCATCTCTTTATTCAGTTTTCTCACAGGCTCGCTATCAGTGCCATTACCTCTGTATCATTTTCCACGCTGAG